AGTGAGTGAACATCAAAGATCACACAACAGAAGTGTGCTCTCTCGCTCTCTCTCTCTACCGTTAAGTAACGTGTGCATTGTTTTACTTACTTCTTTTTGACGTATCCAACCGAACTACAAGCTTTCCAGTGATGTCTGTGAGAAAGGTATATCACTCAGCGTGCTTTGCTCATCAGCTCGCGCACATCAGCTATACAGGCGTTAATACTGAATGTTTAACATTATATTCATTACATACATATACTTCGTAGACATCCTTAATCTCTAATAACTCTGTTCTGCTCTCTGTTGTTGGTGTTTCTTTGTCTGAATATGGCACTTAACACATGCTGTGTGGTATCGGCATTTGGTATCGGGGCATTTTAACGAGTACGAGTACAGGAGCTCAGTATTGGGCCCGATACCGGTGCATCCCTAATTGATGGATAAGATGTTGATTTCAGATGGGCCTATACAAGCATGCATTGCTCAGGGCAGAAAAAGGGCTTTTGTTAGGCCTAATTTTTTAAAAATGTGAATGTCCTACATTAGAATGTCAAAACAGCTCTATCCAACACAAGTTAGTTTCTCAACAGGCCTTGACTTCACACTTGAAACCATCACAACACCAATACCTGTAGAAGTGTTACTTTCTATAAAGCAGGGGTCTTAAAGAAAGCAAAAGTCCACCAATTATTAATTGAGAGAGAACACAATACTATATTACGCAAATTTAAAGTGAACTATATAGTCATCTGTACAGTTCAGTTAACTTTAAGTTTGCATAATATTGTTCTCTCTCTCTATATATATTATATATTCATAATATATCATTATTAAATATAATAGAAGTAAAACTATTTACTTAGAAGAACAAAAGAACATCTTATACTTCACACTGTATACTTTATATCAACAAATATATCCAAACTTGCACTTTATCCCACAGAACAGTTACCGCGTTTGGGGTTTCCTATCGCAACTGTATAAAAGACTAAATAAAACAGGTTATCTCCCCATAAACATTACTATACCACAGAACTGAACTGTGCTGGATCCTTAAATGCGCGAAGCGAAGATCAGCGACAAATGTGCAAACGGACTTTAATGCACAGTATTATGGGTGGATCTCTAAGGCTTACGTGATCTTAAAATAACGCAGTCGTATTCTTGCAGGAATTACAGAGCAGAAAGCGCATAAACGTCCGCGTAACAGCGCACTCGACAGCTTTATTACTATTTTAATAGTTTAAAACGTCAAACAGTGCGCATATATAATGTAAAAGCGTATATGCTACTTACAGTTTAAGCCGCGGCCCGTCACTTCCTAAATACAGAGTACCTCTGCTGCGCTCGAGCGTGAGACACGCAGCGTAATATTTAATGAGGTGGGTGGGACTCATTCTTTCCATGACTGTGTCACACCAAACAATCTTTAACTAAATACAAAACATGTGATTCTTTCGTGCACCATGACTCACGTTGTTTGGTAATAAAGGAATGACTATTGTAATCTTTCCATAAGTCTGTCAAATATGACCCAACCTATTGTGGGGTGTAGTTACCGTTTAAACGAGCAGCTGTATGAAATGCGTTGTAGTCTCTTTAAGATCTCCGTTTCCTGTATGCTGTGTGTTTTTCTGCTGCTGCTGTTGTTGTTTTTTTTATATTTAATACAATGGATATGTGATGTATCTAGCACAAGGCACAAAACATTGGGTGGATCTAAATATGGAAGTTTGCCCAAGCGGAACTCGCCCTAAAGTCAGCCACGCCCATCTGTGCGTGCGTATGACGTCCGTGTACGCGTGTGTTTACAGTATTTAGGAAAACGCGAGTTCGTAAGTGTTCGATTTAATGTTGAAAGTGTGATTTTGTTAACTCTACTACTGAGAATACATGGCACATTTTTGCTTGAGGGTTCTCTCGTGGCTTTTCGTATAGAGTGCAGAGCTGGTTATCTGAGAAAAAGATAGCTGTTCTGAACTTGTCCTTTGTAGATACAGTATTAAATATGGGAACGATGAAGAAGAATATAGGTTTGATTAATAGTACTTGATTAATGGTATTTGTTGTTGTTGTTTACTAGTTAAATATTTACGCAAATATAGATTTTTAAGTCTCCCTCGTTTGTAGTCTTTAAGAATTCTTTGGTACAATATCTAAAAAGCTGTCAAATAATAAGAATAAAAAATAAGGAATTTTGTTGGATTTAGTAGATAAATATAATTTATTATAATATTTTGTACTCCTGTTTGATAAGGCTGTTTTTGTGATTTTAGCCTGTCGGGAAATTTTTGATTATTGTGTGTGTGTGTGTGTGTGTGTGTGTGCTGCATTTACAAATAATATACAGCAGAACAGAGAACAGAACTACAGTTAAAATGAATGGATTACACGCTATTATTACTTATAACACCTGACAGCTTTAAATTATCTGTATTATATTATTCTTTATATTAGTTCATTATTATAATGTAATATTACATTACTACATTTTAACATAATGCATTAGTTTGTCATGTTCACTAACTTTTTGTGATGCTACAAGCATTCGGAATATGAACATATTGTAATAATATTTATAAATTCTATCACTGCAAAAAATAAAATTGTTGTCATTTTTAACTGTTACAGGATAAAATGCTACAGTTAAAACCTGTTAAGTTGCTTTACCATATAAAGTGATGGTTTAAAACAAGGTGCCTAACCTGAACTGATCATCATTTACCAACAAAATTAAGTAAATAAGCCCAGTTATTAAAGGCTGAGAACTTTTTCCTCAATATGAGTCCAGTATTTTGACTATGTGCCATTGTTATTTCCTCACAATAGCACATCAATTCACTTTTAGAGCCTGTGATGTAAGATTGATTTCACTGTCATGGTTTAACTCAGATTTAAAATACTTTCACAACATTATACTTCCTACAATGTACCCTATGGCGTTAATGAATTAGTTAAAATAATTACTAAAATTTGACAGACCATATCCATTTCAGGCCTCTTCTAAATATGCAATCATTGCTACATCCTCTGCAAGGAGATTGCATGATAATTATATTGAGTAAAAATAAATGTTCTGTAGAAGAAAACGTGTACTTCCTCAAGTAATCACAGCAGTGATGCAAGTCTAACATAATCTGATATCTAAGAAAAGGCTGTATTTTTTAAACTCTGGAAATGGTGGATTGTTTTAGCTCCTATGGCTAAATAGCATGTTTACAAGACACAAAAATGTAATATATTTCATATTGAATTAGAAAAATGCATAAAGTCTGTTCAAAGTGTATGAAATATTTACAATACATTTACATTCATTCGTTCGTTTAAAAATCAAACAAAAATGACAAAATAATTCTAAGGTTTCTCAGTAGATTCTGATATTCGTGGAATAACACAGGCCCCTACGGATAAGACGAGGACAGCAGTGGTGTTCCTTGCTGACTGGTGAGCCAAGTAAACACCAAAAGTCACCTAAGAACAAGAGCAGAGGAGAAAAGAGAAGTAATGTAATTTTCATATTATGGAAATATAATTTCTGTCTTCTTGTAAAAGCAATCAAAGGAAGAAAACAAGAATAAGGAGTTTTGTTTTTACAGACCTTTCCACTTCTGCATTCAGAAAGAGACCGAAGGGGTTCCTAGGTCCTAGTGGCTGATTTCTGATCAACTCCAATCATCTGACAGCGGCCACATCTCCCAATCACCTTAAACAAAACATCAAGAAAAGACCTGTGCATCTAAATTCTGGCTGATTATGGCTGTGTCTATTACATCAGCTGTTTCCACTAACCTGAAACTGTGTGTCTCCTATTGTCAAGTGAGACCAGCCGTCCTCTGAAAATGCCTCCTGTCCTGAGATGACCAGATTTGCCCTAAAACTCTGAATGAGCTGCTCCATGTCATGCCATGTTCCTTCATTCACACTATCATGTCTTTAACATACCAAATATAACAAAAACATCCCAAAATAATGAAGAAGTATACTATATATTCGTAGAGTACTGGTTGACAACATTTTAAAAAGACAGACTAAACAGCACTTTCTTGAAGAAGAAGGTACTGTATTGGTCAGTTGCTGCTGGCATTACTATACCTGTTGGCAACGTGTTCTTGCAGAAAGACACGCTGGCTCTGTTAATAAGCAGAAACTGTGCCTCGTTCACTAGAGAGAGAGCAGTGGCACCACAGTCCCCCGCTGGACATGAAGACATCATTAAGGTAAATTGCTTGCCATTATAGGGACGTATACAAACAAATGAAATAATTGACATACAGTACAAATGCAGAGCTACAGTATATAATGTGCACAGCACACCTCTGGTGTGCGTTTCCCGATAATGTTGTCTCTTAGCATGCTACGAAGACTCTAAAGGTATACCTTAACTAAACTGTCCATGGCTCTGGTGCTGAATTGGTTGATATCGATAGCTCAGAAATAGTTGAAATTGCATTTATCAGGGCTCATGGGATCTTATAAAAATAATTCAAATTGCAAACTAAATCCAACCCTAGATATTTTATATAATTTCAAAATGAGTGCGTGGACCTTCAACCTCAATGCCAAAACGTATCATGCCTCACTCAACCCGCTACACTAACGAGAAGGGTCTGGCTGCAGACTTGCACTTGCACTCTCAGACTTGCATTCGCAGACACTTGCGCTTCCGCAATTGACATCACTTGCAGTCTTTTTTATTTTTTATTTTGTTCTAGTTATTGATTACTTTTTGTTTGAATCTCTCAACATTTTACAACAGTAGCCAGGTGGTGAAGACAAGAAAAAAATAAACTAAATTACAATGTCACTTGCAATCGCCACTTGCTTTGGATGGGATAAATGCAGAGCACTAATTCTGAGTAAGGGTCACCATACTTGGCCACATGTCACTTCACTAGAATTTGGCCTTTTTAGTCCATTATGCCACATCATGCCACGTTTTGCGGTATGGGAGGAAAATACTATATACATATTCATTATATTAATAAACTGTATATTGAATTTGATATTTTAATAGCATCTTAATACATTAAGCCATGTTAAGTGTTTATGTTTTTCTACAGGAGGAAAACGCTTAACGAGAGACTTTGTGCATGCGTTCATATTCTGCTGTTCTGTGGCCACGGATTTGTGGGTCTTGTCTTTTTCTTGCAGGACCCTGTATGTTATAGTACTAAATTAGTTTTAAACATTTAATCACCACCACAGCTTCTTGTCTCCATTGGCAACACGCACGATTTGTGTCGATTGCAAGTCACGTCCGCAGGTAGCGGAGAGTGCAAGTGGTGATTGCAAGTGGCATTGTAATTTAGTTTCTTTTTTCTTGTTTTCACCACCTGGCTACTGTTGTAAAATGTTGAGAGATTCAAACAAAAAGTAATAAAAAAAAAATAGAACAAAATAAAAAATAAAGCCTGCAAGTGACGTCGCTAGCGGAAGCGCAAGTGTC